ACATAGCTGGCATGTTGTTTTTTCCCTAGTGACCTCCCAATGCCGCCGAAGGTGGCGGATTCAATGGGCAGCGGAAGGCGTGTTGAACGCCAGGGTGGACGTTGGCGTTGGCGAACTGCAAATGGTGCGCGGCTCAATGGGGCCGGGGATTTCTGGAATTTACCCTCTGGTTATGGCTGACATAGCCATGGAAACCATGGCCCATAGAAATAGATGATTTTCCCAGCTATAAACCTCCATTTATTTTGGTGATTTTCCAGTTCGCTATGTTAGTCATAACCAGATGGTACATGGCACATAAAACCCATTTAATTAACATTAAATTCCATTAAATCGCCATTTTATCCCATGAAATCACCATGAAATCATTTGTTTCGTGGAGCGTGTGATATCAGCTTGGACCATTTGCAGAATCATCCTGGATCCCCCTAGGTGTGAAAAGTTGGTGGGGCTGTGCGTTGGACTGAACCTGTGCAACTGCAAAGATACCCACATCATAAACCCCATTTGAGATCAATAACCCATAGGATCCATGTATGGTATTATCCTGGCAAATCCTCTGAAATCCCATGAAATCCCATGAAATCACCATGTCTCTTTGTTAAATCCTCCATGCACCAAAATTGCTGCAAGGTGGTGCCCCCAAGATAGCTAAGTGGGTTTATAACTCTAATTTCACTAGGACTTATGGTAGATATATCGAACTAGTTAATGGGATTATAAACAAACTTATTAACTGGGGGGGCACCACATCATAAACCCCATTTTTTGGGATTAGTCAGCAACAAATGAGATCAATAATAGGAGTCTGATTTGATAGGGATGTAATGGGCATATCAAACAGTAAATGGTGATAGTATGTTCAAGTTGCAATGACACCAGGAAGTAAAAGACTGGGAACATCCGCTGGTGAAGGGTAGGAGTTTTGGTTCCTTTGCATATGGCAAAATGCGGATTTGAAAATCACACTGGATAAAGGAACTTGGAACTGTCCAGGAAGAAGTATAATTTGCATAACATGATTTGGATACTATTACAGGTTGGTGGTTTGGAACAGTTTTTTTTCCATATACTGGGAATAATCCTTCCCATTGACTTTCATATTTTTCAAGATGGTTATTGCACCACCAACCAGATTACTCTTTTGTGGCTAAGACTGGTGAAGGGCAAGATTTTATTGGACAAAAAAAACGAAAATGTGGTGACGAGGGGCTTCTAAAAGCTCCATGTCTGCAGGGTGGAAAATTGTGGAACTGCTGTTATGAAAAACTTGAGGCTGTTGAGTGGTACAATGTGGGGCCCCGTTTCCCCGTTTACGATAACTAGGTTGGTTGAGTTCACTACAATAACTGCTGGGTTAATACTTTGAAAATGTTTGTTGAATGGGATTTAATAGGATTATATTTAACTAAGTTTGTGAACAAAATTCCAATAACTATTATTTGTGATACGCAAAGAGCTATAGTTTTAGACCAACTTAGCTATCTAGGGGGGCCCACATAGTATATCTTTCCCAACACCAGGCTGCTATGCCGCGACGATACGCATGAAACAAGACGGTTGACTCGTAACCCATGGGAAGCAGATGGACCGAGATCATCGATCAATACATGTGCTCTCCTAAATCATTCTCTGCCATCCGGCACAGTCCACATCTGCTACCGTCTGATTATTTAACATAGCCATGGAAAATCCCTTATAAATGGAGGTTTCTAGCTGGGAAAATCATCTATTTCTATGGGCCATGGCTTCCATGGCTATGTTAGTCATAACCAAAGGCTAAATGTTTCAGAGCATACTGAAGCTGAAGTGCAGCTTTTGTCCAAGTACTTGGCTTTTTCACAGGGCAATCCAGGTACTATCCAGTTTACTAAGTTTACCCACTGCGCTGGGGCAATAGTTGAAGAAAAAATGAGCTACAAAAAATGACCTGCAACGCGGAGATTTCAGGATTTCATTTTTGATAGATAAAAACACTTTGAAGCTAGCTAGTTTGATGGTTAGATAGCTACAAGGTGGTGCCTTCCCAGTTATAAAATGGTTTATAATCCCATTAACTATAGATATCTCTACCATAAGTCCTAGTTACTAGAGTTATAAATCAACTTAGCTATCTTGGGGGCACCACCTTGTAGTTAAATAGTTAGCCAGATAGATAGTTAGTAAGCTGGTTAGATAGTTTGTTGCCTAGTTAGATAACTACATAGTTTTTTGGTGAGTTCATTTGGCTATAGTTACTTTGCTAGTTAGCTGGCTGTTAGCCAATGTTAAATGTCTTTAGAGTGACACATCTTCCCAGGCCCCCCATGATTTGTCAGGATGTGACACAGAACATGACCAAAGGTCCAGGACGGGCTTTCACGTCACGCATGTGAGGAGGATTTGACCATTGAACAGTGGGATTTCACCAATCAATTTTGAGTCTGCCTACCCCGATCAAGTTTACCCCAGTTATATCCAGTTATAAACCAACTAGGGCGTCGTTTTGAGACCACTCTTCCAAGTTAAGGAGATTTCCCCATGACATATATCCCAGTGTAGAATCCATACAATCTACTCATGTAAATGGGGTCATTTAACCATTTTGTGCCAGGGGAACCATTCAGAATACCTCTTTTGTTTGGGTAGAATCCAGTTGGGTATCCTATCAATTTATAAGGAATTCAGTTGGTTACCCTACCAATTTATAGGAATCCAGTTGGTTATCCGACCAATTTATAAGGAATCCATTTGGTTATCCTACAAATTTTTAAGGGGTAACTACAACCAACAATTTCAGAATGCCTATCAAAGAACCAGTTTTGGATGGGATGCCATTTATCGCTATTTTCTCATGGCTCAGATCTCAGATCTCCTCGGCATAACCCTTTCGAAACTCGCTATTTCGCGGACCTGAAGTGGTTGGAATTCCCTTTGGTTCCTACATTTCTTTGTTAAATTCCTAGTTGTCAACCAACTGATCTTTCATCAACAGTCCTGCTGCTTAATCCCGATATTTGTTGGTACCCCATGGGGAAATCCCATGCAATCTCCATTTGTTCTACCTGATGCGTTGGTTCCAGGATTACCATTTCAGTCTCTTGAATCAATTTAGGTCGCACTATTTTGTTTCATGGATTTCCCATATTTGTGTTGTTTACTTTACAGTAAACTATAACATAGCTTTGTAAAATCACCAGTTTCATAGTTTAATAAGTAAGATTGTTCTTTGGGCCACCTATACCATAGCTATGTTAGCTTTCTGTATGTTTACTGGAGGGTAAATCCACCAGTTTTGGCTGTGTTCCACACTAATGGCCTGAAACTTGTGGGCCATTCGGCTACAAGGAGTACCGAAACTCCAGGTGTGCAGCGCCATGTACACGAATATCATTGAGAACGCCAAAAACGACCTGAAGAAAATCCAGGCGATCCAGGGACAATGGCAAGCAGAACGCCATCCCACCAGTGTTCCGAGAGTACGAACCAACATACGGTACTGTCTTGCTGGCTGGGCTGGCTGGACTTGCTTGCTTCGAGCTGGTTGGGATTTGTTAGTCAGCCTGCCTTCGCTGGGCATGTGGCACAAAAGGCAGCTTCGCTGGCCCTGTGTGCAGGTCTGTATACAACATGCCTGGTGGGGGTGGGGTGGGGTCTCGCGGTTGACCGTGCAGGAGCGCCACCCAGCGATCTGGGGACGGCTTGTGTGAAGAAGTGGGAAGGCATTGGCATTACTTAGATGGGCCATGGGATTAGCTAAGTGGTTAGTAACTGGGGATATAAACCTTTATATCTCAATTATGATCCATTTACTAACTAGTTAACTAACTCCATGGCTGATCTAAGTAGTCCCATTGCGGCAACATCAGCATTTTTCTAGGGAAGAAGCCATCCAACCGATCGGAGGTGGACGCAATCACCCTGTTTCACCAACTCATCGAGACGGTGCAATCAGATGATGAGCTGAACACGGCAAAGAGGTCTGTCGTAATAGGTGTAAATGGGATGGGTTAAAACTCCTGTAAGTAGTTGCTTAAGGGCTATAACATTAATCCATATTAATGTGGGTAAAGCAATCACAAAACACCCATTTGGAAATGGTAAACATACCACCTATTTCTGGTGATGACTGGGGGATGGCTTATGGCATTGTTTTAGCCACATTATAGTTATACCAGTTGGAAATTCCCCACCATGTTGGGCCCCCAAACATTCTAAATTGGTTTTTAACGCCTATTAACTATGGTAATAAGTATCATAAGCCATAGGTGTTGGAGTTATGTCATTGTTTTAGCCACATTCAGCCATTAAATCTCATGATTTTCCGGCTACTGATCCCTCCCAGGAGATTGGTTCCACATCGCCTTCGTCTGGGACTTGGGTGTAGGACTCGCAGGCGACTTGACGTCACCGTCTTTCGTGGGGAATGGATGCCATGGTGGTTCCGCTATAGGGTCTCGTTATACAATGTGGGGCCCCCGGTCGATAGCTAAGCTGGTGAACATAACTCCGATAACTATGGTTTATGGTACCTATAACTATAGTTAATGGGGTTTTTAATCCAACTTATACCTGGGGTGCCCACATTGCAAGAAAAGTCTAGATCAACCTTTGCATGGGTCGTGCTATTCCATGGGTCTGTCTGAAAATAGGTGCCTCAGAATGGCATTTTTTTTTAATGGGGAACATGATGAATAATATTGAGTACTATAACCATCAAATTTTAGGATATCTTTCTTTTCAGGCCAACCCAAATAGGAATATCTACCAGCTAAAGATTAAAATTAGATCTGGCTGGTGGTTTGGAACATTTTTTCTTTTCCATATATTAGGAAGAATATAATCCCAACTGACAATTTCATATTTTTCAGAATAGGTATACCACCAACCAGAGATTCTTTGGCAGGGAATTATTTAAGATTCACCATGGAAAAGTGCACCCTGGATGGGATAGATGGTAGGCATCTGATGGTCGCGTTACTGGGGGCGGATGAATTTTCAGCAACATTGCGGACTTCACCAACATTAACTGCGGTTTGTCTCTCCAAAATTGTGATTCAGTTTTAGATGACCAGCAAATTAATTATGCCGATTTATTCGGATTGAAAGAGTGATGTATTGAGATTTCACGAAGAAAATAGTGATTTAAGGGGAATTTACTGTACTTGGGCCACTTGGGATATATTGAGGATTATTCCCCATCTGCCAGGTGAGGGTTGTTAGATTTTATCAGAGCTGTTCTCCTCCTCCTCCGCCTCCTCACCCGCCGCCTCCTCCTCGCAGTCCAGATCCCAGTGGGCACAGCCGGACCTCCACCACGAGCTCCAGATCCCAGTTGGCACAGCCGGAACTCCACCGCGAGCTCCAGATCCCAGTGGGCACTGCCGGACCTCCACCGCGACTTCCAGGTCGCAGTGGGCACTGCCGGACCTCAACCGCGACTTCCAGATCGCAGTGGGCACTGCCGGACCTCAACGGGAAGAATGTGAGAAAAGATGTCAGATAGAATGTCAGAAGATATGCCAGATAGAATGGAAGAAAGAATGTCAGAAAGAATGTCAGAAGATATGCCAGACAGAATGTCAGAAGATATGCCAGAAAGAATGTCAGAAGATATGTCAGATAGAATGTCAAAAGATATGCCAGATAGAATGCCAGAAAAAATGTCAGAAGATATGCCAGATAGAATGCCAGAAGGAATGCCAGATAGAATGTCAGATAGAATGCCAGTAGGTATGCCAGATAAAGTGCCAGAATGTTTGCCAGATAGAATGCCAGATAGAATGTCAGAAGATATGCCAGAAGATATGCCAGATAGAGTGCCAGAAGATATGCCAGAACAGATGGCAGAAGATATGCCAGCTAGAATGCCAGAAGATATGCCAGATAGAATGCCAGAAGATATGCCAGATAACATGCCAGAAGGTATGTCAGATAGAATGCCAGAAGGTTTGCCAGTAACAAAATGTATAAATGTCATGGTGGGGATCATTCGAAGTGAAGTATTTTTTCTGGGGATATATTGTCTTTAATTTTGAGTTAATGGTGATTTAGTGGGAGGGAACCGACTTATGGTCAATGGATGTCAATGGTGATGAAACATTGACTTCACTCATACATGATGTTTTTTTATAGGATTTCAGCAGGGAACATGATGACTGCATATGCATTTAAGCAACTAACATGGGGTATTAAATCAACATAGATCAACCATTCTGCGCGGATATAGGGATGTAAATGGGGATTTCATCGCTGCATTTTTTGAGAAAATCACTTGCAAATGATTGGGAAATCGATTCAACCACCAAAATACTCATTCAATGGTACCTAGCCAACAAAACAAGGGGATTTAAGCAGCAAACATGGTGATTGAATGGATTTTTTAATGGTATAATCCTTTCACGCTAGTCTATCATGGCAAATCGACGTTTCTTTCTTTAGTTTCACACATCTAAGTATAGATCCCGGGACGCTGTATGCGCCGGGTCACAGGCACAATGCCCGGATTCACGGCCAAGGGGCCGGGCACTGGTATCTTGGTCAGACGCAGCCGCCGAGGAAGCAGGAAGTGCGAAGCGCACCGGTTCTGTTAGATCGGTGGCCTGTTTCATGTCGGCGTCGAATGAGAGGGCATTGAGTACTGCTATGGCTATGGCAGCAGCGGTGTGGATCGACACACCGCGCTGTTCGCCCATGTTTACGCATCAGTTCCCACTTGCTGAGGATCCCAGCACCGCAGGGCGGTGCTCTGAGTTCGTTACCGAAGTTGATTGAAAAACAAGTTGGTTCAGTGTTGGGTTTTGGTGCTTAAAAAAACTAGTTCGGTGGTTCGGTAAACCATCTTTTTTCAGTGGGCACCACCTTGCAGCTATAGAGCTCTTTCCAAATTTAGGCTGGTTGGTGGTTTGGAACATGAATTTTATTTTTCCATAGGGAATAATCATCATCCCAACTGACTTTCACTCCATCATTTTTCAGAGGGGTAGGTCAACCACCAACCAGTAGGGGTTGAAGATACCACCCGCATCCATAGCTAGCCTCATGTTCGTTGGTTGGATCCCCGTGTCCCCGTTTCGTACATAGCGAAGCCTGCGATGTGGGGCGCCCCTTTACGATAGCGTTCAGTTGGTGAAAACCATGGGAAAACCATCGGAAAACCATAGGATGGGTTTATAGCTGATTTCTGATTGCTAATTTGGGTGCCACATAACTCCAATTTCACTATGGTTTATGGTACTTGCTTATAACTACGTATGGGTTTACAAACTAATTTATAACTGGGGCGGCCACATTGTACTCAACAGTTTTTTGTTCAGATATATTTATTCCCAACAAACTTACAATACGCGGTACCACAGATACGGTTGTTGCTGATGTTTGCCCACTAAAGTGGTAAGATAGCTACATTATAAACCCAGCAGCAAACACAGTTATCAACCAACTTAGCCATCATAAATCAACACGTACTAGATATAAATTCATGATTTTGTGACTTAAATCATTCCCCATACTTTTTGTTGGTTTCTTATGGAAGAATTCCCCGCATCAGGGATGGGTCGCACCTACCTCTGGGTCGATGGGGTGCAAGCGGAGCCGATCGAGCCCAATACCGAGAAGTTGACGCATTTCATCTGGGTGGACCCTGAAGATCGGTGCCTCCGGCTGGATTTTGCAAGGTGGTGCCCCCCAAGTTATGTGAACGTTGGTTTATAGTCCCATGGCAACTAGTTCGATATATCTACCATAAGTCCTAGTGAAATTAGAGTTATAAACCAACTTAGCTATCTCGGGGGCACCACCTTGTGTCTATCTGTGGATTCTTCAGGGTGGAAACCGAGGGCAAACTTAGAAAAAGATCTGGAAACCCAGGGTTTTTTCATGGACATGATGTAAAAATGGTGGGTTTTCCACATGAATGTTAGTTTGCACGGGGGTACCATCCGGTGTCATCAATAATGGTTAACTGGAAAATCATTTATACATGACGTTTACTGGGAAAATAATCTTTTAAAATAAGTAGATTACCCATTGCTATGTTTGATTATCAGAAAGTCCTCAAGGTGATTGAGTGGAATAGCTGCAAACGTGGTGGTTTCATTTGATCAAGACAAACAAAGTTATGGTGATTTAACGGCAATTGACCGTTGAAGATGGTGATTTATATGGTTGGACCAAGAAGATTGGTGTCTCGAGCCAAACAGGCTGAGGGGTTAGAGTTGGATGGGAAGCTGCGGGTAGTGATGGTTTGGAATATGTTTAGATTTATTGAATCATAATTACAATAATAGTAATAGATAATATTACTTATTAAGTAGGTATGTTGGTGGAGTCAACTTTTGATACCGCAGATTGATGATGATTGGTGAGATGATTATAAACAATCAGAACAGGGTAGAAAATAATATAGGTGAAGGTTAGATTAAACAATAAATAATGCAATGTGATTTTATTGTGAAAATATTCGGACCTCAAATGTTTCCTTGTTTAGCCCTTCTATGCTTTTTGGGGCACTGATCGGAAATAACCCGTGGAGAAGGGGATGTCAACAGACATCAGAATGGGGTATCGGCTGGTACGGACGAGGTACCCCATAGTTAGCTTCATGTGGGGCCCCTAAAAGAGGTAAGATGGTTTATGGTGGACGATTCTTTGGGCCTCATATATTATAATAGAACTAAGTTGTAAGCTATTTTTGGGGACTAATGTATAGTTATGGTTTATCTAACTCCATCAGCTATGGTTTATGGTAGTTATAATAATAGATAGTTAATTGGGTTTATAAATCAACAAACATCACTGGGGGGGCATTTTTTGGGGGGGGCCGCATTGTAGCTTTATCATACTTCCAGTAGAATCATGGTGGATATATCGAACGATTGGTTCATGCAAATAACGGAGCCCCCGTTTACGATAGCGTTCAGTTGGTGAACGTAACTCCAATAACTTTGGTTTATGATACGCAAATGACTATAGTAGACTATGGTCTATAAAGCAATTTATAACTGAGGGGGCCCACATTGTGTGGCTTTAACATCGACTTTGCCAATTATGGCCACCACCCAACGTACCAGCTTACCATGCAATGTGGGGCATCCCAGTGATGTGAACGTTGGTTTTTAAACCCCATGAATACTATAGTTATTTGCGTACCATAAATCATAGTTTTTTGAGTTATGTTCGCCAACTTAGCTAGCTAAGAATCTATCATATAACTATTAATCAGTAGCTATAAGTACCAAACACTATAATAGTTATTCAGTTATTCGGGTTTGAAACCAACTTAGCTATTTTGGAGGCCCCACATTGTAGGTCAAATAGCTGTGGTAAGCACCTATCTGAAAATGAAGGGAAGCACTTGAGGAGGAACCCCTATGCTTTTTAATTCATAACACATGGTGGTGCCCCGGAGTTGTCTCTGTTGGTTTCTTTTTCCGATTAGATGAGTAAGTAGAGTTGGTTCATCACCATGAACGCAATAGATCATGAGCAAGGTAAGCAGAGAGAGGAGCTGCTCAAGGGCATTGCAGAGCAAGATAAGAAAAAGACAGATCAGGAGGAGCCTGTCCAAGTGAAGCAGGAGCCAGAAGATTCAGAAGATGAGCCTGAGGTACAAATGCTCCAAGATCTTCGCCTCTGCACAGTCTGCCATACCAAGAGCTATTTGCGCCAGGGGCTCTGTGTGAATGCCTGCTGCAGCAGCTATTGCTGCAGCAGCTATTACATGCTGCAAGCAGATGCAGGCCAGAAGCTCACCCAACGTGGCCCTGCCTCTGCAGGAAGGCGATGGACTCCAGAAAGCCAACTAAATCCAGTTAATTAAATCTCATTCGATTCCCATTAAATCACCATGTTTGTGAAGTTTGCTTGACCTAGCTTGCTAACTAATCATTTCTCGGGCACGACCTGTCTCCAACTATATTCCCATCCTATTACCATTACATCCATCAAATTCCCATTCAAGGTACATTCAATCATAAAATCCCATTAAATCACCATAAAATCCCATTCAATCACCATTAGA